AAGGTAAATAAGAGTAAAAAAAATTAAAACTTAAGAATTAAAACTAAGAGAAAAAAGAATTTTTTTTTTCTTTTTGCAAATAGCAAAACATAAAAATTATGGGCCTCTTTCAGGGTATGTCTCTGCTGTCACAGTAGGCAGTGTAGGAATCCGTGTGCATATAGGATTCAATGAGTCTCAGCAAGCCAGCAGCAGACCAAGTACTGTGGTCTGATGTGACTTTATTGTAGAGATTCTCTTTACTTTTCTTTGAGCTTCAGTTTTCATCAAGGAGCCTGAGAAGCCCTCTTTCTGTTACCAACTTCTACTCTATCTTGTGGCGCTCAGGACAAGGGTCTTTACAATCCCCTGTGCCTCTGTAGTGTGGGACCAGGTAGCAGAAAAGCCAGGAAGCCAGGGGGGAAGGGGGGGGATTGGGCCTTGGAGGCACCTGTGAGGCTAAGCGGACCTCACCGTGGCATAGGCTGGGCCCGGGACGGTCACGAAGCTTCATGCTGCTTGTCTCACCGGTTTATGCTGGTTGGTCATGCTGACAAGAGCGTCGGATGGAGGTGGGGCTCCAAGCCGCACCTGGGACCTCACCGTGGTGTGTGCGGGTGGCCATATTGCTTTTGTCTCTCCTTTGTTCAGAGATAGCCCAGCAGATCTATTCCCCTATTAAAGGCTTGTTGTAGCCTGCTCTGGTCTTGGTCTTCAGCCTTTTACCTGACAGCCATGTTGGCAGGGATGGCTTTCATGCAAGCTCATAAACATGGACTCCCACTCACCAAAGCTTATCTAGCTACAGCCACGGCTGAATGCCCAATATGCCAGTAGCAGACAACAATAATGATTCCCCAATATGGCATCATTTCCCTGGGGTAATCAGCCTTCAACATAGTGGCAGGTTGATTATATTGGACCACTTCAATCATGGAAAGGGTGTGCTTTGTCCTTACTGGCAAAAATACTTATTCTGCAAATGAATTTGTCTTTCCTTCATGTGATGCTTCTGCCAAACTCCCACCCATGGATTCATATCATTCCTTATCCACCATCATTTAATCCCACACAGCATTGGCTCTGACCACAAGGAATATATTTGATGGCCAAAGAAATGAGGCAGTGGGCTCCTGCTCATGGAATTCACTGGTTGACGTTTTCCTCACCACCCAGAAGCAGCTGGAGTGACAGAAAACTGGAATGGTTTTTTGAAGACACAGTTGTATCACAAGTTAGGTGGCAATAGACTGCAGGCCTGGAGCAAGGTTCTTCTAGACTGAATATGCTATGAGTCAGCATCCAATATATGGTACTGTGTCTGCAATTGAGGATTCATAGGTGCAGGAATGAGGGCTGGAAGTGAGAGTGGTACCACTTACCATTACCCATAGCGATCTACTAGCAAAAATTTTGCACCCTGTTCTTATGACCTGGTCCTCTGCTGACTTAGAAGTCTTAGTTTCAGAGTGGGGAAGGCTTCTTTCATATAGTTGATAAAAAATTGTGTTTAATGAATGCTTTCCCCTCATTGATTTTATACATAGGTTTCTTCCCAAGTATGAGTCTATAAATGGAAGACTTACTGGCAAATCTTTTTCCACATGGATTACATGGATAGTTTCTCAGCTGTGTGAATTCTTTTATTGACAATATTTGTGTGTAGTGAATGCCTTCCCACATTGCTTGCACACATAAGGCTTGTACCAGGAAGCATAATGACACCACTGAACTGGAAGCAAAGACTTCCTCCTGGTCATTTTGGTCTCTTTATGACTCCGAGGAAACAAGCTGAAAAGGGAGCTACAATGTTGAGAGGTGAGATTGACCCAGATTGTAAAGGAAAAATTAAGACTATTACTCCACAATGGAGGAAAGAATATATTGGAGTGCAGATCACTTAGGGCACCTATTAGCATTACCATGCTGTGTTTAATTAAAGTCAATGGGGAACTATAACAACCCAATCCAGGGAAAATGTCAAATGGTCCAGAACCTTCAGGAATGAAGGTTCACTACACCAGGGAAAGAGCCAAGCAATGCTGAGGTGCTTCCTGAAGGCCAAGGAAATACAAAATAGGTAGTACAAAGTAGTTATAAATACCAGCTATGAACTTGTGACCAGCTACAGAAAGGATTGTAATAGTTCTTCCCTTATATGCTCCCAATTTAACATAATGTTGATAGACTGAATATTGGTTAAGTCTTGTTAAACCTATATTTAAATTATGAAATGTTAGGATTAAGCATCACTGAAATAAAACTTCCCTTCTATACTGAGGAGGGAATTCATGTGTTTTCATTTGTATGCAGCATAGTTATAACATGTTAGATAAATTCAGGAACTCATCTTCATATCAGGAGACTATGGTTTAAAGAAATGTGTCTGGTTGTCAAGTTGTCAAGGGGTGGATTGTGGTAGCTAACTATGTCAAATTCAGTAAGCAATGCCCAACTAAATTTGCCCAGCAAAGTTAGGGGTTTGACCCACCTTACTGAGGACTATTGCCAGAATGTTATAAAATAAAAAATGAAAGCTTACCTGTTTTTGTGGAGGAGTTCCAGTACTCACAATCAGCTTGGAAACCATCTTCTGGCTCCCAACACAGATTCTTCATCCTTTCAGTGCAGGGTCTTCATCCTCCAGCTCAAACCAGTCTTCTGGCACAAACCCTTTGGTCTACTGATATAGACTCGCACGAGACACTACAGTGGGCTCTAGACCTTCAACTGGATTTTTTGGATAGCCTGTGCACAGAAAGATTTTTTGCATTTTTCCATATCTGATTGTGTAGGCAGCCATTGTAAGCTAATCTTATAAGTTCATATGCATTTGTATATCATGCCTTAAAACTGTTTCTCTAGTAAGCACTGCTGATACATTACTACAATTCATGATATCCTTTTACAGACAAGTCATGGTCCATCTGATCTGGCACCATCAGAAACTCACAGCAATATGTTTTGGGGTTTTTTTGTAGAAGTGGTGGTAAATTTATTTTAAAAATTGGAAGTCATAAAAGCATGAAAAGTAAAATTCTGACAGTAAGAAAACAAAATTTTATGTAAATCATGTTGACTCCAACATGAAAGCAAAATAAGGAAAATTATGTACCTGATATAATTATTTTGGGATATATGGAGGTATCTTCAGATATGAAAAACAAAATATTTGCTAATTTACAAATTGTTTGAAAACTGAACTTTCCAAAAACATGATTGCATTTCACTAAATATGCATACATATACATGTATAAAGTCAAATTCAAAATGATCTTTTTCTACACAGTAAATGAAGTATATACACCAAGAAAATTAAAATTCAAGGAAACTCTCATCACTTAAAAAACAATCAAATTTATTTTAGTGGCCTATACTTACCAATAGTAAAAGCAAAACAAATAAAATCAAACTACATAAATACTAACCTTACTTTGAAGTGAGAAAGTCAGTTTAATTCACCTTGTTTAATTAGAAGATATTATATACTAAGTTGAAAGACTATGGGTTACACAAAAATATATTATGTCAATATTTTTATAGTCAAGACTACAGATACATAGTTTACTATTTACAAGTGATTTGCTGAAAAACAAAGAAAGGACATATTCCAGGATATCTCCATCTGGGTGTATTTTCTGGAAACTTTATGAAGAGATACTGACATCAAAGTTTTCAGTTAATTTGTACATGTCTCCACTACATGATGAATTTTCACAGAATTTTCAAGTCTTACATATACAGGGTTTCTCCCCAGTGTGACTTTCATATAGTTGATATTGCGTTCATTGAATGCTTTCTCCACATTGCTTATATACAACTTCTCCAGTGTGAGATCTTCTATGTCTGTAAATTGAAGACTCACTAGCAAATCTTTTTCCACATGGCTTACATGCATAGAGTTTCTCACCCGTGTGAATTCTTTCATGTATTTGACAATATTTGTGTGTAGTGAATGCCTTCCCACATTGCTTGCACACATAAGGTTTCTCCCCTGTGTGACTTTTTTCATGTACACTGTAAGAACTCTTTCTAGTGAATGTTTTTCCACACTCCTTGCACACATAGGGTTTTTCTCCTGTGTGCCTTTTTTCATGATTATTATAAGAACTCTTTGTAGTGAATGCTTTTCCACATTGCTTGCACACATAAGGCTTCTCCCCAGTGTGAGTTCTTGCATGTATTCGACAATATTGATGTGTAAGGAATGCCTTCCCACATTGTTTGCACACATAAGGCTTCTCCCCTGTGTGAGTTCTTTCATGTATTTGACAATAATTGTGTGTAGTGAATGCTTTTCCACATTGTTTACATACATAAGGTTTCTCCCCGGTGTGAGTTTTTTCATGTCTTTGGCAGTGACTGCTTGTGCGGAATGCTTTCCCACATTGCTTACACATATAAGGTTTCTCCCCAGTATGAATTCTTTCATGGCTTTGACAGCTACTATGTAAGCTGAATGCTTTTCCACATTGCTTACATACATATGGTTTCTCACCAGTGTGAGTTTTTCTATGTTTACGAAGTGCAGACTTATCAACAAATCCTTTTCCACATTGCTTACATACATAGGGTTTCTCTCCAGTATGAGTTTTTTCATGTCTTTGACAATATTTGTGTGTAATGAATGCTTTACCACATTGTTTACATATATAGGATTTCTCATCAGTGTGAGTTCTTCTGTGTATTTGGTAATAAATGTGGTTAGTGAATGCTTTCCCACATTGCTTACATATATAGGGTTTCTCCCCAGTGTGAATTCTTTCATGGCTTTTACAGTTACTACGTGTGCTGAATGCTTTCCCACATTGCTTACATACATAGGGTTTCTCCCCAGTGTGAATTCTTTCATGAATTCGACAAGAACCACGCGTACTAAAAGCTTTCCCACATTGCTTACATACATAGGGTTTCTCCCCAGTGTGAATTCTTTCATGGCTTTGACACTGACTGTGTCTTCTGAATGCTTTCCCACAATGGTTACATACATAAGGTTTCTCCCC